AGCACCCAAAACCCACCTACTTGACCACGGATCCCGCTTTGACGCGCAGGATAATCTTTCCCAAGGGCCACTCCGGTTGCAAGTTGAAACCAACCCAGTGGCGAAGTTGCCGGAGCCAAGTCTGTCTCTCGGAGGTTGAGCTGCTTGAACGCATCAAAATACATGATCTCGACCGAGCTTCCCTGATCAATCAAGATCTGTTTAACATCAAATTCCTTGACGCGTAGTGTTACTACTAGGGCATCGTTGTGCGGCGTTTGGGTTCGCTTTAGATCCCTTGAAGTGAAACTAATCGCGTCTTTTTTCTCAGTCTTCCCTTTTGATGGCAGGCTGTACGACAAAACTTCCCTCATATGCTCTGCCTTTTTATCATGCCCCGGAGTTCGCAAACACGCTCCGGTTCCACGATGCCTGTGGATGACATTAATAACTCCTTGTGGTGGTGCGTCTCGGTCATCCTGTCCCCTGGATCGACCAGAGCCTGATTTGGCTTTACGCCGCCATCAATGTAAAGGTCTAGGTGCCGGCCGCGACCAGCTCTTCTAAGTGTTGCCTCAAAGGCAAACAATCCTCAGTCCGGTGGCCTCTCTCCCGGTGGAATGTGCAACGATACCGCAGGATTGTAGCCTTTTTGTCCATCGCCCAACTTAGCAGGAAACCGGACAACTCCTCGTTCTCGGATTTCACTAAGGATACGATAGATCGGGAATCTTGAAGACCGTGGTTATGCCAGTCCTTGCCTTCATCCGTCTGTTTGCATCCGATACGTCATCTCGGGGGTAGTCATCCCGGTCGTTTCGACGTCCCTACCGGTTTTTGCGATTCGAGCCACGGTCCGATTCCTCTACGCGGTCACTTGAGCGGTTGGACTCTTGCCCAACTACGTGCACTTTGCCTGCTGTTCCTCTGTCTGTTGTTACCGGAGTTGCCTTCACGGTAGATGCCGATGCATCATCCTCGACTCGGATGTGCTCATTGATGCCCTGCATGAGCTGCCCATAGAGGTCGGTTGGTGCATGGTAAGCGAGTCCCGCAGTCTATATCCGACGGGAGTCACGCTTGTATTGAGTGATTGCAAGGTGACCGGGAATCTAGATCTCGTTGAAGTCTCCCAATACCTAGAGTTGTATGCCTTTAATGTGTCGCTCGGTTCCATCTTGACACTCAGTAAATGATCGACTTCCTTTGGTGTTTTTGTGTTGGTTTTGAAGCGCGTCACAAAGGCTTCGGCCAGCTGATGCCACCGTTGTATGCTCCCTTCCGGCAACCTCTCGAACCACTTCAAGCCCAGCTCGCCTAAACTTGACGAGGAAGATCAGGCACATAAGTCCGTCATTTCGCCTATGTCCGGCCATAACCTGTCGGAAGTGGCTCACATGCATGTAAGGATCAGTTTTCCCGTCGTAAAGCGTGAACTTTGGCTGTGGAAGCCGCTGGAAGCGGTGTTGTTTTATTTCCTGGGCAAAGGGGTGGCACTTAGCCTGGCCAAATCTGATCCACTAGGAGCGGCGCTGCTTGGCGGGGTGGAGGCATTCGACCTCCTCACTAGCGTGAACCCGTAGGATAGCTGCTGGAACGCCGGTATCCTCTGAGCTTCACGTCGGCGAGCCCGCTCCGTTAAGACCCGCCCGCAAATCCTCTGAATGAGCAAGTGAGAGTACTTCGACGTCGTCGCCGGACTGAGGGCCGGTAAGTGCTATCTTGCGCGCTAGACTTCTCTGCATCACATCGGAATCACCAATCTTGATAACTTCTGGTAATAGAAATAGGATGGAGTGTCGCTGACTTTGACCCCTAACGCGGGATGGGGTGCGCTCACTGTGCACCCACTCCAGCTACACCCTTCCCTTTGACATGCCGCTTGAGCTCCTCCATCTCAGCCGCCATTCGCCGGATGAAGCGTCTTGGTCCCTCAACTTGTGTTCCAGACGTCGGGCCTGTGATTCTCTCCGCCGCCGAGACCGTCCGGACTTCGTGAATGACCATAACTTCTCCCGCGCTTATCCACGCGTCTCCTGACTGTCTCGGGGTGTCTCCAAGTCCGCCATTGGATGGATGGCGGAGTCCTTCTCTCCGTCGGGTAAACTCCGGGGTTGCTCCGTCTATGGCAGACAACGGAAACTCTTCGTTGTTCGCCATGGTCGGCGGTCAGACGAGCGTGAAGACAAGGTTTTATCTGAAGATTCCCACAGACGCGCCAATTGTACGGGGAGCAAATATTCAGGCAAGCCGTATTCTTTTTCCAAGTTCCTGTCTGTCCGAGACCTGCGAGCACAACGGCGGTGAGCTACCCGGCGGTGTGTGGCCGGAAAACCCCTCCGACGGTCAAGTTAGCACACACCTTAGGATAAAAAGAAAGAGAGAGGGAAGTGTTAGAGTGTAGGAGTCCCTTACAAAGTGTTTTTTTTTCTCTATGGGGGGCGCAGACATGTTATATACCCTTCTGCATCCCAACCTGCTCCCAATGGTCCCTCGACACTGGCTCTTGCTATCCCATCTGTCAGCACAAATCCTGCTAGCGTCACCTAATCTCAACTGCCGCTCACTCTGCTGGGAGCTCGGCAGCCGAGTGCACCATCTTGTCCGCCAACGTCGTGCTGTGCTTCATATCCAAGCACTCACTAGCTAAGCTTAATAAGGACCGGGCTAGGCAACATCTTGAAAAGCCGAGCAAACAGGTACCTCCGTGACCACGCCTTTCCGGGCCCGGTCACTTAACTTGACTGGCTTCGCCTCCGTCAAACATGTAGCTCGGTCCAACAAGCGTTGCCTTAACCGAGCAACTTCTTTCCAAATTGGGCCACAATCTCGGCCCAACACTCTGTCCGGCCAAATCTGTCCGGCACAACTTTGTCCGGCCAAATCTGTTCGGCATAACTCTGTAACATTAATCTCCCTCTCAATTACTATACCATATTATCCCCAAGAACTTCATCCATGTTCACACGTAGTGGAGAAAGCATCCAATTTGCCAAGACAACCGACACCGAGCCAACAAATGCATTGTTGACTCACCCTCTTCTTTGCACAAAGGGCACATTGTGTCAACAACAATCTTCTTCCTGATCAGCACCTACTTGGTCGGAGCTCATAACATCATCTCCTCTTACACACACTTCATAAAAAATATTTTATTATAAATTTTTTTTCAAGTGAAACTATTATAGACATAAAATTAAACACATTCGGAAGTTATGTCGAAAATATAAATCGAAGTCTACTTCCAACATTGTTATTTTGAAGCAATTTCCGACATACTATTTTCGAAATCTACTCCGAACTATTATATTAAAAAGCTTCAACATTTTTTTATTACTTCGAACTAATTAGAATTCTCATTACTAGAACTAATTATTTATAATTGTGTGAAGACTTACATTTTGGAGCTTCTATTACTTAAAATACTACGAACTAATTAGAATTCTCATGTACCTTTTCATATATGAAAAAAAGACTTCACACATTTTTTCCATCTGACAAAAATTACTATTTAATAATTTTGGATGTAATGTGCATGTGGTGATTCTGATTCAAATAAAGAGGGTAAGTTCTTGGGATTGCAGGGTATAATTTATAATTTTATTTATTTATTTTAGGGATATGTGTCAAAATGTTGTTATGATTTCTATTTATAATTTATAAAATAAAATAATTTAAAAAATAAAAAAAAATTAATTACTCAAAATTGGAAGCCTTTATGTTCTGCGTCTGATTATCAATTTATTACTCCAAAAAAAAATTCCATCAAACAATTCATCGTTTCTCAATTGGCTTTAATCAAGGTGAGTTCAATGGATGAACTAGTGTCTGCCCCCTCCAAAAAAAATTCATCAAACAAATCATCGTTTCTCAATTGGCTTTAATCAAGGCGAGTTTGATGGATAAACTAGCGCCCCCCCAAAAAGAAAAGAATATCCTGTGACGCTTGACTATTATATTGACTCTTATTTAATCATATCATCTTTTATTATTATACAATAATTTTTTATAAAAATAAAAAATTATTAAAATAACTTATTCCCAAAACAATCTCCAAATTTGTAAATGCCATAACTTATCTTATATCGGGGGTGTTTGGTGCATGGGGCTTTTTTGAGCCAGCTTATGGCTTCTGGCTTTTAAAAAGTTATTTTGGACTGTTTGGTTAAACTTATTTCAAACAGCTTCTGATTCTAACAACTTATTTTAAGTAAAAAAAAGCTGATTCTGAGAAGCTGCTCACCCCTTGCTTCTGATTATCAGCTTCTGCTGTGGACATGTTAATTCACGATTATACTTTTAGATTTTTTTATTTTTTATTTTTTTAAAAATAGAAAAAGACTCAAATGGACTATTAAATATTATTATTATTTTTTATGAAAAATGTAGACAAATAGTGAATAATAAAAAATAAAAATTAATTGAAAAAGCTACTTCACAACTTATTTAACAAACACTACTCAGCAACTTAAATTTACAATCCAACAGCTATACCAAACAGATTAACCGCTTCTGATTAAAGTCATAATCTATAATCTGTTAAGCTATAATCTATAATCTGTTTTAACAGCTACACCAAACACCACCATCTAATATAAGAGGGGAAAATGGCATACAGGTGAGAGTTGCAAAAAAAAAATTAAATACATAAGATATAAATATGTCTATGATAAGATACAAATAAAATACTATGAGAATATAAGTATCACTTATATTCGTCTATATATAATTTTTTTTTCTCAATAAGAAAGTCAAAAATAAATTTATAAAATATATACACATATTTTCACTATATTTTATTTTCTGATAATCCAAACACAAAAGGTGGAATTTGCCACAAGGCGTCAGGTCAACTGAAACTTGGCGACATCTAATCCACACACAAATTCAGTTAGAAAGCTTGAGTAGAATTTCTGATTCTGAGATAGCATAACACCCCACCCAACAACAATCCAACCCACCATCATCATCCACATCTACTGAGAAAAACTAGATAGACATAGAACACACAACACAAGATTAAAAAAAAAAAAAAAAAAAATGTCAGTGGCATCATCTTCAATCCCATACATCAACTTCTCAACTTCATCATCTTCATCACCCTCCTCTTCTTCCTCATCTCCTTCCCAATCTTCCTCCACCTTCAGATTTAAGCCCTCCATTCCCACCATTCGCTGCTCCCAATCCGATGGCCCTCTCAGACGACCTCTCGCTCCCACTCCTCCCACTACTCTCAAACCCGTTCCTCCATCTCGTCCTCCGCCGCCCCAGCCGCAATCGCCGGCGAAGCCTGCGGCGGTGGTGGAGGAGGGTAAGAGTGTGATTACGTTGGAGTTTCAGAGGCAAAAGGCGAAGGAGCTTCAGGACTACTTTAAGCAGAAGAAGCTTGATGAGGCTGATCAAGGGCCTTTCTTTGGATTCATTGCCAAGAATGAAATCTCCAATGGCAGGTACTAATTCGTAATTATGTGTCTGTTTGAATTTTGATAGTCAAATTTGGCCCTTTTTCCATCTGTTTGTTTGTTGAGAAAATTTTGAGGATATGGAAAAAGAAAATGATAATTGAATTTTGATATTGAAAGTCGATAATGAAAATTCACTATTATTATTATTATTAACCAACGTTCAATCGTGAAAATTCTGAACAATCTAGTTAATGCCCTTTTCGCCCTATGTTTGGTTGTTGACAAAATTTTAAGGAAATAGAAAAGTAATGGGATCTGAATTTTGATGTTGGAAGTTGCTAATGAAAATTCACCATTATTAACCAACCATTTGAATTGGGCACAATTCATTCGGAATTTTTTTTATTCATGTCACAAGTAGTGAAAATATGAACTTCAAAAGATTTTCTTAATGGCTGAATGGCAAAGCAATAGCATTTCATGATTCTTAACAAATTTTCAGCTTCAAATTGAGTCAAGTTTCCGTGAAAATGGGGTTTGTAATGCATTCATGAAGGCATTCACACCAACTTCAATTTAGGTTGCAGTGAAGTGCAGCAAGGGATGAAAATTTGTTTGTGGTGTGAACTTCTCAACTCAACCTATCTAACACCATCTCTCAAATTCAGATTCTGTAGTGATATGTGATTGCAAATCTCTACCTTTTTTTTCTCTGTATCAACTTTTGTTTTGTTTTGTTTTGTTTTTTCACAATCCTTGCTTTGTTTCTAATGAAGAAAACCCATTTTCAGCATAAGATAGTATAAGATACTGAAACAGGGGAAAAAGAGTGGACTTTAGTTTTCCACTTGCTAAAATTCTCTCCAGGAATCGATGAATTCCATCTGGTCATGCCACATCAGTAGCACTGAATATGGTGGAGATGGTTTCTGACCAAATATTTGAAAAGAAAGTTCACCACGATAATTATTAGCATAGCTTCTTGTCAATAATAATAATAATAAAAATTCTATGGCTTTCAAATTTTGCTTAAGCATTTCCCCAAATGTTTGCTTCAGTTGAAATGAAAAACTACAGTCAGCTATGTTTTGTTACCAAAGAAAATTCATCAACTTCAACACAAAATCATTTGATAAGAATAAAAAGTAAACAGGAAATTCGAAGTTAATTCATGAACAATGACCAATAACTAAATCAACACTTCTTATCCTCTTGGCTTTCAGTGCGAAGTCAGTCCTGTGGGGCAGATGGTTGATTGAAACTATTGGGCACCCAAAAATGTTATGCTTTCAATATTAAAAGAAAACCAAACATATTTCTGTAGTTGCTCTTCTTTATTGCATTTAATAGATCTCTCTGTCTCTCTGTCTCTCTCTCTCACTAGTTTTTGACTTCCTTTCCTTTTGGCTCTGATTTTTGTTGTTTGAGGATTCAATATATTGAATCGAAGTACTTTCTTAGAATGTCGTGAAACATTTCAAATGACTCCAGAAAATTTTCGTAACTTTAGCGTGTCCTAAATGAAGAATCATAAGCCATGAAGATAGTTTTTTTATTCTATGACTACTGACTAATGTTTGGGGGTTTCAAATAATGTCATTTTATACCCTCTTTCCCTTATTTTGTCATTGGATTCTACAATTTGGGTCGTCAAGTTTCCTTTTGAATCATTTCAAGGAATCCTGATGACACTGATTACAATCCATCACTCTTTAATTCCAATGCTACTTTTGGATGGGTATACACAGAGCATGTATGGTGTTTCTACAATTCCAATGCTGATTTTCTTGACCTAAATTGGTTTGAACAACCCATCTAATTTTGAGTATAGATTAGTCGCTCAAATTCTTTATAAATATAAATTTTGCTTTTGTACACAAATCATGCAATATTCTGAGGGGCAAGTCAATTTCTTAACCTGGGATTTTTCATCTTTCCGTATTTTTATTTATTCATTTATTTTTTGAGCAGATGGGCAATGTTTGGTTTTGCTGTTGGGATGCTAACAGAGTATGCAACAGGCTCGGACTTCGTTGATCAAGTAAAGATTCTTCTCTCCAATTTCGGGATTGTAGACTTGGAGTAACTTATCTGTTTGATTTCCAATGCTACAAATACGTACTCTATGTTTGATGTAATTTCTGTAGTTAAATCCAATGTTTCATCTGCCACTTTTTTTGAGTAAATTTTCAATTTTCATTTGTTTGAATCACTTAATTGTCTGTATTCTCACTATTTACATGAATTTCAAAAAACACAAATTGTTGTGTATAATTTGATTTTGAGTTGTGTATACTTGTATGAGATTCTAACTCACCAAAATTGCATCCTAACCTTTTGGTTGTTGGTACATAATCAAAGATTCAAAAGTGCAATCCACAATCCAATACCTTGTCACCATGAACAGTTGTTTCTGTTCTAGTTTTAAAAGAAACTAGTGGTCCAGATTTTGAGTTATGTTTTATTTTTTGTTCTCTCTCTCTTTATTATTACACACCCCTGCTTTTCCTTTGAACAAAAAGAAAGCATTTTTGTATTCAAGTTTCCAAAGGGTCAAACTCACCAGACACTCCAAGAAGACTGGTAAGTCTATCTACCTTCTGGGAATTCTCAAAATATTGTCACTGGGTCCATGACACTAGTTAAAAATTTGATATATTAAGAAAGCAACACTGTAATGGAATTAGTTCACAGGTTTTTGCTGTGGTGTAATGGTATAATGTATCAATGATAGATCTTTTATTTATTAACTTTTGAAAACACTGCTAGAACAATTGATGTTTACTAGAATGACTCAATAATACCTCGCAAGTGATAAATGTGCCTGCTTGGATTTAATTTGCAATTTCATATGATAAAAAATAAAAACAATAAATTTAAGAAAAGTTGCAGTTTTAAATTTATCTATATTTATTTTATGTTTGATTTTTCTATAGTTAATTATGCTGATGGATAAGCATAAATTTCACAAAATCAATTGTCATTTTGATGCCGAAGCAGGGTCAAAACATTGAGATTTCATGTTACAATGATATAAACTTTTTTATAGAAAAAAAAAAAAAAAATTGTATTCAGGATTGGGATCTTCATTATATAGTTGTGAGCTTATTATTTTGAATTTAAAAAGAGTCATTACACTCACTGAGGTGATTCTTTCACAATTATTATAGATGATATGATGAAAATTCTCCATTATAGCCAAATAATAGAGAGAATCTGAATCTAACAAAATAAGCATTCTGCTCTTTCTCTAATTTTATTTTATTTTATTTTATTTTATTTTATTTTATTTTTTTTTTAAATTTTGAGAATAGGGTAAGATGAGATAAGATCATCAGCTCACAATGTAATAAATGGAGTAAGTGTGATATGAAATTTGATTCAGAAAATAAATAAGAAATATATTTTGATTCATATATACAATAAATAGATGAACCCACTAATTATTTACTAACAAGAAGATAAAAGAAGGCATTCTTCATTCACTTTTTTTTTAATAATTGGTGTGCAAACCAGCAGTTTGCGCGCACCTCGATTAATTCCAAATATTCGACATTCTTCATTCCTTCACCAACCTAATTATCTAAATGCTCATCTTCATTCTCCTTTTCTCCACCAGTACTACTATTGAACTCAATCCACTTCTTTGATTTACAAAACATAATAATAAAGTACCAACCAATCCCAACAACAGTCAACAAGGCACACAATAAACACACAGTCTTAGTAGCAATAGTCATTACATATACCAAAAACCCAGATGGTACCAAACACATAATCATGAGACCCGGCAGCGACATTGGAACTCTGTAAGGCCTCTTCTTCCTTGGCATCTTCCTCCTCAACCAAAGAAAAGATGCAAATTCCAACAACATTCCCAAACTATACAAGAAATTCACGGTCGATATAATATTCGTGAAATCCATATACGAAACCGCCAATGCCACCAATGTTGGTATCAAAATCCCAACCCAAGGCGTGTTGAACCACTTGGACCTTTCTCCCAACACTTGAGGCACAACTCCTAAATCCGCCATACCGAGAATCTGATAAGCACAACTGCTCAATTGAGCCTCGAATAGTCCGATGATCGACAAAACTGCACCGATCTCCATCCAGTATTTCAACCACTTTCCTGCAATCATTTCTGCCACATTGGCAAAATACCCATCAGCCCAATCTTCTTGGTCTAGAGGTATAGCCCCAGTTGCAGCCATTAGAGGAATCAAATAAGCCAAACATGTGAGAATCCCGGCAGAGAATAGTGCTGTAGGGTATGTTTTTTGGGGCTGATCAACTTCACCAGCTAAAGTACTAGCATTGTCCCAAAAATTGAGGTTCCAAAAAAGTGTATTGAAAAACAATCTCCAATCTTTCTGGACGCCCTTCTGGCCTAAACTAATCCACCTACTAGGATCAATCTTGGGAATTGAAATCAAAGTCAAAAGTAAAAAAGGGGAAAGTGAAACAATACCCAAACACACCGCGGTGTAACCGACTATGGTTAAGCCGGTGTAATTGAGAAAAGACAAAATTAGAGTTGAGAACAATAGAGCTAGAGAGCGAGGGACACCTGAAGAGAAAATAGGGAAGACTAGTTTGAGATAGTCTATGCAAAGAACTGGGTATGAGGCTAAGTTGATGACACCACTGAGGAGTTTCCACCAACCCATGAGGGAGCCCCAGAAGGGACCAAAGGCCACGTGGGCCCATATAACAAAGCCGCCATTGCCCGGGAAGGTGGTGGCGAGCTCGGCGGTGATTAAGGCTTCTGGGATGCTCCAGATGAAGGGGAAGATGAGGAAGCCGAGGATGGCGAGGAGGGGTCCGGCGGCCTGCACGGCGGGTTCTTCGCCGTATGGGCCGCCAGCGACCTCGAAGTAGATGAGGAAGATTAAGGGAATTAATGCAAGTTTTTTGGAGTTTTTTGTGGTGGTGGTGGTGGTGGTTGTAAGATCTTGTTCTTCTTCATCTTGAAGGAGAGGTGGTGGTGGTGGTGGTTGTGGTGAAGACTGGGATGCTCCCATGGCTAGTTATGATTTTGGTTGTTCCTTTTTTGAGGGTTGGAATTGGGTTATGAGGTGTTTGCTGATTGAACATTAAAGATTCCATGAAAAGATATATACATATAATTATAGTGGATAGAAAAATATCATTTATTGCTTGTTCAGATTTGAAAAATCACAAACAAATAAATTTGAGTCCCCACAATAATATTTTAAATATAATTCTGTAGATTCTGTAAGATTCATGAGGTTAGTTGGAATACGATTCTAAAAGGTTGAATCTGAATCACATGTGAGCCCCAATCTGGTAAAGAAAAAAAGAGCTTTTTTATTTATTTATTTTTTTTCTTCCTTCAATCCCTTTCTTCTCTCTCCTCCCAGCATGCGTTTCATCTCTCTATCCCTTGTGGCTGGTTTTAGTCCTTGAAAGTTGCAGAGCCTTATGACAACCTATTTTGGGAACAAGGATATAAGTTGTTTTTTGATTTTCTTTTTAATGTTAAAACAAGTTTTTTTGAGCAAAAAATTATTTCAGAAGTTGAAAGTAAGTTTACTTTTAAAATTATCAAAATACCCTCCTGTAATGTGACACCAAAATACCCTCTTTTGATGGTAAAATTGTAATTTCACAAAATTTTACGGGATAATATGTTCAATTTACACATTTGTTTAGTGATGTAACACTATAAACAAATAATATTTAAAAAAGGTAATTTTTTTTTTTTTTTCATCTTGGCAAATGATTTTAGAATAAAGCTTTGGACCCCTAGTGGGGGTACTGGGGTCCCCTCCCATTGGTCAAAAAAAAACAAATTTTTTTTTTTTTTGAGTTTTCAGCCAACCCCAGGCTGACACGTGGCACTGGGGGGTTCACTGGGGTCACTCCCACTGGAGGTCTGTAGCATTGCTGATGATTTTATGAATGTGTCAAAAAGTTTAGATATAAGCCAAAAAAAACAGCTTATATTGAAGTTCCTAAAATAGGCAAAGCTTGACAAGATTAAGGCTTACGAAAACTATCTCAGTCGAAATAATAGGTTGTTAAAATTTAATTTGATAATTTAATGAGATTAACACAGTGTTCAAATTTGATTTATTTATGTATTGAGTTGATTTCAAGTAAAGTCTTTAACAAGTTGAATACAAGTCAAACTTGAATAGTTTGATTTTTTAAAATGCATATAATTTTATTGAACTAAAATCTTTTTTGGAAATATGGAAAAAAGTTAGTTTATTGACTTATTTGAGTGACATTATTTCTTTATTTTTTTGTACATTTTTTTTCAAAAAAAAAGTCAATAAACTACTTTTTGTTTCCTACTTTCCAAGATACGCCTCAATAGTAAGTTATTTGAAAAGTTATTGGGTGTAGATGGGGTACCATGTGACATGTCACGTGGTGCCTTTAACTAATTACAAATACTATGACTTCCTATGTTATCTCTTCATCACCCAACACATAAATGTAGTCTCCACTCTCTCAATCAATGAGAAAAGAGAAAAGTACCACATGACAGTTACCATATTTGCACTCAAAAATTTCTCAAGTTATTTAAGCTTCACTTGAAAACTTAAAAAATTTAAAATTATGTTCAAATGTAATTTGTCTATATAATGAATTAATTTTGAACAATTTTTTAATAAATCAAACACCAATCAGATTTTAATAGCTTGATTTGTCGAACCTAGATAAGATTAAACCGAGCCTTCGTTTGAAATGTAAGTTGGCTTTTTAATTTTTTGACTATTTTAACCTGAGGTTAAAAAGTCTTGTTTGGAATAGACTTTTTGAATTTTTTACTTATGTAAAAGAAAAAATGAAATGATTATAATTTAAATATAATATTTTATTTTATTAAACTAAAACATCCATTTTATTTTTTTATAAAATAACCCCAACCCAATTCAAACTTTCATGCCAAGCATAACCTGATTTGCTAAGGTGATTGTGAAATTGGGTTACAGCTAATTAGTTTGGTAGGAATTAAACTTTAATTTGGTAACGTGTTGGAAAGCATGTAAGCGTCGGTGTCAACTAGACTGTCGGCTACCTCCAACCCTCACATTTCTATTCCAATAATTCTATGTTCAACTTGTAGGTTCATGTCAAATCAAATCAACTAAAAACAAAATAAAATAAAATAAAATAAAAATAATTATTCATCCATAAATGTCTATGATTGTCCTTAGCCATTAAATTGGATTGTAATAACTTACTATATATATATATATATATATGATATTTTATTGAAAAATACTAAAAAAAAAGAAAATAACATAATTTTATATTTTTTAAGTTATAATTTAAAAAAATACTACATAAGATATAACTAAAAATATCATGAATTATAATTAAAATAATATATTAATTAAAAAAATTAATGGTAATTAAAGAAAAAAATGACATAATGCATATGATACACTCCTTTCAAGGGATGTGTATAGTAATTTTTAAATTTTTTTTTCATATATTTCTTTAATATGGTTTTTTAAAAAATAAATTACAAATACACCTAATGAAGTTTACTTAAAATACAGATTGCAAATTGTCTTTATAATTTTAAAAATTACATCTTGTCCCTTCAAGTTTCTAATTGAGTAACAAATTATCCCATTTATTCATAAATTATGAAGTCAATTAATAATTTTTCATTATATCAAAAAATGTTTTAATTAATAATTCAAATAATTTTTTTATTATATAAAATAGTAGTTAAAATTTTTAATTTTTTTTGTTAATTCTATTAAAAAATAATTTTTATGATAGAAATTTATAATTTTTATAATCACACGAGACAATATATATTTTAAGTAAATTTTAAAAAGTATATTTATAATTTATTATTTTAAAAATTAACTAACTATTTTTTATTTTTTAAAAAATAAATATTATGAAATATATTTACCATTAGATTTGCGCGTAAGCATTCTTTAGATATTAGTGATTAACCCCTGCAAGCAAACCATAGTTGGCCCCATCAAAGTGGACAGAAATAACGCCGCCTTTAGACAGGAGGAGCGTAATGTGCAAGAAACAAGTAGAAGGATACTTCACCAAGCAACTGAAATTCAACCACACCGAGGGTCGTTGTCCAGTGACGAAGGTATTGTTTTTTCACAGTCATGAGTTAAGTTTAATTTTTGGGGGATTTTTTAAGGGCTCGTTTCGGCGACTTCGCGCTGTACTTCGATCGAAATTTGTTAAGCGACTTCGCGCTGTACTTCGATCGAAATTTGTTCGTGACTGAGGCGGTTGATGAGCTCCACTGGTGTCTCGATAGTGGATCCCTTCCTATGGGTTGAGTTAAATCAGGCTGGCAACCGGTTACCCCGGGGTCTACGGATGTAGTGATGACAATGCTGGTTCAAAAAAAAAAAAAAAAGCAGCTGAAATTCATCAAGCTTTTTAATTTGACCAACTTTAAGTCTATTAACTAATTGGTGCCCTCCTTCTCCATGTAAAATTGGGATGTGAGTTGATTTTTTTATTTTTTTAATTTTTTAATTAGGGATTAAAAAATTTTGTTTGGGATATGTTTTTTAATTTTTTAATTTTTATAAGAGAAAAAATGAAATAATTATGAATTAGATGTGATGTTTTGTTTTATTAGATTAAAAAATTAATTTTATCTTTTTATAATTAAAATAATTGAAAAACCTAAAAGTCTAACATGCCAAACAAAGGCTTAACACAGATATTATTAGGATTTCTAGTGAAAGGGCCTGATCTATTTGCCCTCTATTGTACTTTTATTTGTTTTCTTTTCTGTCTTGTACTCTGTTCATTTGAATTAAAAAAAAAAAAGAGTAGGGAAAATTATTTAATGCTTTAAAGGCAAGATTATGTGGTATTTTGATTTAACTTTTATTAATTGAAATAACGAGATTCATAACTACTTATTTGTCTTTTCAATTAGATAATAACAAGCTACGTAATCCAACTTAAAGGGTGTAAAACAATAATCTTAGGTATTATTTGGTAATAATATTTTTGGTTAAAATAGTTAATAAACGTAATATATATATATATATATTAAAATAGTTAATAAAATAAAGAAGAGTAATACTACGCATAATGAAATAAATATCATAAAAAAATTTCATAAAACTAATCCAAGGGTGATTGTGTAACATAAAATAAAATATTACAAACTAATCTAAAGATAGAAAATTTTCATAAAGGTTTTTCCTTATATTTTTTCATGATACCAACCATTATTGAATGAAGAATAAGAAAAATGCTATGGACCCCAAATAAATTATCAAATTTTCTACCAAACTTCTCACACGAATGTGGGACCCATACAAATCACATGTGTGTGAGCCCCATACCCATGTAAAAGGTTTAGTAAAAAATTTAGTAATTTATTTGAGATTCCTAATATAACTCATGTTTGTATCCACATAGAGTGTGGCACCCTGAATTAGCCCGAGTGAGGTGGCAACGTTCTATCTAAAAATCTCTTCATTTGCTCAAACGCTTCAACCCCTTTTAAACGAGTTTGGATTCCCTCATTGACCTCTCTCTTTCATTTCCTCCGTGTAATGGTTAAGATTCAGCCAATCACATCTAACGGTCTAGATTGAAGAAGAAGAAGAAAAAAACAAAAAAAAAAACAAATTGAAATTTCAGTAAATTTCCTGCACGTTGCTATACATACACAGGTTATACATTCACTTCACTGTCACTCAGCCTCACACTCACCCCTTCTCCTCCACCAAACCCACCCTCACCGGTGACTACTCCCGACGGCGACCCATTCCCGATGACGGCAACCCACTCCTAAACCCAACCCACTGCTCCAATCCTCATTTTCTCTACTTCGCGAACCATAACTCCACTGCGACCACCATTGCCTGGAGCGAAGAAATTTCTTAAGGAGAACGTGGGTTCTCAAGCCATAGATGAACCAGATTTGTTCTCGAAACGCTGAAATTAAAAAGTTAGGGTTGTGATTGAGAAAATAGATTTGAAATTTCAAAATTAGGGCCTTGATTTGGGATTCCAACAGATAAAAATTAGGGCTTTGATTTGGGTTTTATTGACTTGATATTTGTAGTGCTATGAACTTCTGGATTGTGATTAAGATGTCTACTAGTCAATTACCTATACTTAAAAATGCAAATATTACAAGAAGATAGGAAGGATGAACCTGCTGTATGGAAATATGGAGAGTTTGTTTACTTTTTTTTTTGTTTTTTTGGTTGAACCTGGTGTATAGAAATATGGAAGGGAAAAAAAAAGGTTGCTAATGAACATTGTGTGGAGATGTGTGGAGAGTTTGTTTTGCCCTCCTCTGTTTCTTCTTTAATTTGCAAATATTAGAATAAAGATATATAACAGTTATGAACTGCAACTGGAGAGGCCAAGAGAGATGAATTGTGTGGAGATGTATGGACTGTTTTTCCCCT